CCAATCGATAAAAACGATGAGAAATTGTTGTTTGCATTGAATTTGAAATGAAAAAACAAACAAACCACATGACACATTTCAATTTGAGACAGCACACAACCGAGATGCTTATCCTTTTTAATTTGATGCCTAAACACACACAATGCTCTCTATTCGATGCAAATAAAACCTCTGAACACCCTGTTTAATTGATGCTTGATTGTTTGCTGATTCGAAATATGGGCAGCAGATTAGCCAGATTATGGCATAATTACGTAAATGGGTTCGGATTTCGAATGTAAATACGTTGTGATTGGGATTGTTGAACAGCCCAAAAATCAGAATCACTCACATTTCAAATACCATATGGGAAAAAGTGTTAAGCGGATGTGTTTTTTTTTTTTCAAATGTTAACACTCCAATTTCATTTGCATTTCAGAGCTTTATGATGGGACAATTCCATTGGATTTTCTGATTTACACATTTCCCATTCCACACAACTAGAGATAATGTTTGTATTTCGGAAACTAGATGATCCTTTTAAGCTTAAGCCCGATTTGGTTCCAACCGTCCCGTCCAAAGCTTCGTCATAATTATTGGATTTTCGATCATTATATCTGAATGAAATTGATATTTTCACCGAAATATGAATCCTTTTTCCTTTTGCTTGTTTCATATTTCGAATCTTGATCCGTTGATTCGATCCAAACGTCAAATATCACTTCGAACAACATCGAATAAATATTGGACAGTGCTGACGCACCGAATTCGTTTCGTGAAAAAGGTGTATATCGAATTCAAAGCTCTGGGATTGAAAGAAAATCCTTTTGCACACACTTCAAAACAGCGAACAACTAACGAAAACGGTAACAGTAAACAAGGACTAGAATCTTCTGGCAAAAGAAACAAACAAAAACAAATTCATTTATGCGACCAAAGAACAATCCAAACATGTTCCGTTCTTTTTCATTTTCGATTTCATTTCCGTATGGAATACATAAAAAGTAAACACATTTGGAAAATAAATGCGCATATGGTAGCACTGTTCCGTCGCTTATTAGCTTAAAGCATTAAAAAAAGTCGTCACACACTTCCTTTTTATTTGCTTTGGATTAAGTATGCACACTTTTTCTTTCGCTCTTCAAAAAGAACGGAGGAGAGAAAGGCAACAAGAAGAAAATTCTTATTCCAGCGAAAATAAGATTCAGAACACGAAGGCAAAACGAAATTTGGAAAATCGCAAATCTGATACGAGCATCGCTTTTTCACTGTAGACACACACAGCGATTGGCAGACACGTGTTCTACTGAAACTCGTATTTGGTATGGAAAAACACCTTTTTTTTCTCTGTTGTACAGCTGTTGTACGAGCGTCTTTTCTTTGAGAAATTAAAATGAACTGAAGAAGAAGAAGGAGAAAAAAAGCAGATACAAACGTACTGATTCGACAGTGAATAATGATTTCACTATTATAGTCGAAGAACCCTGTTTCTAGCTAGACTATATTCAATATGCTGAAGTCTTACTATGTATGTATTCAACTAGGGGGATAGAACTGAATAAATGAAAATGAAAATATAAATATTGTAAATAATTGCATATTCTACTGAATTTGGATCAATACGCGTCAATGCACTGAATAACTAGCTGCGAATGCATGCAAATTTGCAACTGTCATTCGTGCTCGCCACGAACGACACGAGGCAACAGAAGAAAACAACAACAATACCACTAAGGAACGCAGTGCAAATTCTTGTGAATATTCGTCAATACTTGTCAATAGAGCAAATATTCCAATAGTTCTTTCCCCCTAGGTATTCAATTCACAAAAACACACCTTAAATTTTACACCAATATTTATAGTGTCAATTTTTAAATACAGTTATTCCCATTCAGAGAGAGAGAGAGAGAGAGAGAGAGAGAGAGTAAATAGAAGAAAGAATGAAAATTGACACTATCATAACCTGCTCTTTGCACGCACATTCACCGATGTCAGATTGAATGTGATCGGCTTCAATTTGACTGACGTTCATGGCTCCCTATGTCTGGGGGAAGGAAAAGCTAATGTTATAATATGCGTACAAGAATTTTGGTCATCGAAAAACTGGTCGTACAAAACTGACGATGAAAGATTTTCCATTGTGGAAAACTTGCCACTTTTGTTATAATCTTACACGGCCAAGGATCCAACATATTCCTCGGGTACAATTTCAACACGGCCCAATATCGTTTGAGATGGATCAACAGCGGGACAGGTTATTATAATGATATCTTCAACTTGTTTGAATTGATTTAAATCTCTCAGTTTGATTGTCCTCTTCTCTCTCACATTAGTGATATTATTTGCCAGGTTATGTGCTGAGCAAAATAGCGCAACGAACATTCGTCGGAAAATTAACAAACAAAACGCTATGCCCCCGTATTGTTCACGATAAAATGAGTATGGCTTGTAGTCTGTAGTTTGCCCATTTGTTTGGAAAAATTGAATATTTTCACCGGTGATGGTCATGATTGGCTCAAACGAGAGTGATCCTTTATGAATCAACTCGAAGGCATTTGATACAACGAGAGAAAAGTAAGAATATTACTAATTGGTACTTGAAACGAAAATAGTATCGAAGAGATGACGAACTTGATTATTATTCAAATTATAGTTTCTTTTCATTATATTTATCCCAATTATATGTGCAGATTATATTACCTAGCGTATAATTTGAAACCGTATGGAATCGATTTTCATTATCCCCTTTTGCACGGAAAATTCAATTTCATTACTGTGATACAAAGACTAAAACTGGAACGAATGAGCACGTAGTATCGATGATACTAATTTAACAGAAATATATCAAATGGAAAGTGTACGATTTTAAATTGAAATGATTTCCTTTTATTTTTAATTTGCTTTATTGTTACTTGTGCTCAGTACACATAAGTAGAGATGAACACATTCAACACGGCTTTGTTTCACTTACACTTTCAATGGGATTTATTCAGCGATGAAATGAAAATATACAATAACTGGCTTGAAATACTATTTCAACTCCAAATTATTTTGTTTCATTGTATTTATGATGCGTACATGTACGCTATCTAAAACCACATCGAATACTGTATCGGCATTATTTACGTTTCAAAAAACAAATTGAATAATGTTCTGCAAGTCATAGAAATAGAATGAATGAACGCGGTTACTGGAGCGATTGGAAATATTTCTCAACATTATGTGTATAAAGTACAGAATTGAATTTCCCAACACGTATTTTAAATATTTAGTTGTTCTATTTTGTTCCAAAATTATATGACCTAGTTGCAAATTATCTGGCCCAGATCGTTGCCTTCATAATATTTCGTGACGTAATGTACAACGTTCACTTTGTTTTTTGTTTTCGCATTCAATTGATTACTGTTTCCATACTCAAGAGACACAAGCACAAAGAAAATGTTTGAGATTTTCTGAATAGCATTCAAAATACACCAAGACAAAGTCGTTATTCAAAGAAGTTGAAAATGTGATTTTGATTATCCGCACACAAGTGATATGTCGTGAGTCACATTGCAGATGCCGGGATACGACCTGACAAAATAACAAGCAAAAAAGCTTTTTCTTCCGCTCTTCACACAGCTGTAACTCGTGTGCTTTTCCTGTTTTTGTTTTTCTTTCGTAACGAAAAAATGCGTACACATCTTATGGAGAGTACTTGAGAAAATAAATAAAGAAACAAGTTGGAGTTTTTCGCAGAACAGCGCGGTTGTGTTTAAAAAGTTCTAAATTTAGCTGAAACAAAGTTTGTGCGGAAATCAGTGCCTTTGATAAATTTCATGTGTACTCAGAGCCTGTATAATGTATATGCATAGCGAAGACTGAACAAATTAAATTGCCGGAGAGATACGCGCAATGACGAAGTAGCTTGACGACACATACACGGGTTACATCTCGTCATTCTCTTCGAACAGTGAAACTGTGTTTTCGAAAATGAATTTCCTCGCATTTTCACTTGTTCGGCTTCGTCGTGTTGACAGCATTGATTCCTGGCATAAAAGTAATTAAAAGCTCATTGCATACAAGCCCTTGCCAACGTAACGTTTGCTAATTTGCTTCTTTTATGCAACGCAGAGGAAGAAAGTGAAAAAACAACGAATACAAAAAGCCACCATTTGTTGTTGTTACGCTGTGCAGCGCCCAACCTATTTATGGTTGTCTACATTCTGCATTCAACAGTATGCATCTGCTGAATGGCCGTAGTTCCATGGACTAGATATATTTATGAATAGAACTATTATATGGGGAGACAGCATGCTATCGTGTTTTAGATCTTCTTCCGGAATTTCTTTTCCATCGTGTTTTTTTCCACCGACATTTCCTGGTGTGTGTGTGTGTGCGTTGCATTTGCTTTTGTTTTGGTTTGAAAATGAGCGCAAGCCTCGAGTGAAAATTGGCGTAAATAATTTTCGTAATAAAGAAAATTGTCGTGCAAAGTGCTGTATATATCACTAACGGCAACACGCTGGGTATATCTAGTACCTGTGTAAGCCATTTATTACGCTCGAATTAAATTCAAAAGGCAGCCAAGGCATAAAAAAAGTACGTGTGTACGGCAGATTCCCTTCTGGCATTTGTGAATAAATATGCTTTTGCAGTTTTACTTACTCCACTTTGAAAACAGGTCTGCTCTAGTATTTCCAAATGATGTGGCTTGTTCGAAGTGCAAGCCAAGATGTTAACGCTTTAATTTCATGCGCGCAATGTCAAAGCAACCCACACAAGTAGTGACCATTATAAATGTTGTCAATAAAAATTATTCTGTAACGGTGAAGTTTTTTTTTTGTTTCTCTCGCTATTTAAGCTTGAAAAACCCAAATATTTTATGTACATAGAACTGTTTCTACGCTCGAAAACATGGAACGCAAGCAATTATTGATTTTGTGAATTTACGCAATACGTAAGTGAATTATTTGAAGAAAAAACACAGTCGTAGTGGAGAAAAAATGGCATAAATAGACGATTTTGTTGGCACAGCTGCAAGTCCATCTCATTCTATTCGGCTCATTTTTCAGAGATTTCGTTCGATTCGAGATAGATCCAAATCGTTCTTGAAATCGAACAGTCGACAAAAGTTTGTGAGTAAATTGATTCGTGTCCATTCGTACAATTCCAAGTTTTTTTTTTCATTCTTTAAGGTGAACCAAGAAGATGCATGTCGTGAGCCCAAGTAAACAAGCCGAAACTGTGGCTAAAGGGGTGGCATTGTTGTCGGGAATTTTGGTAGGCTGTCTCTATGCTTCATTTGGACGTTCGGTGGCAATACAATGGTTTTCCAGCACAAAAGGACCCAACGTAGAATTCACTACTGTTCCATCAACCACACCAGGCCAAGTGATAAATGAAACTGCCCGATTCTTAGTGTCGGATGATACAACAATGGCTGACACCTTAGCAAAACGCATCAAGATTTTGTGCTGGGTTCACAACAATGATCCCGAAGCCAATCTAATCGACGCGATTAAGAAGACTTGGGGTAATAGGTGCACTGGTTTCATTACAATCACAACCAAAGGTGTAAATTCAACAGATGTATTCAACATTCCGAATGGGAAAGATAGCGCGAATCTCGAAAATGCATACCGATTCATTTACAATAATTTCTCATCGAAATATGATTGGTTCTTGAAAACCACCGGCTATTCATATGTTGTAATGGAAAATTTACGCTTCAAATTATTTGCATACGATCCATTGAAGTCAGTTGGTGTTGGACTTGCATTGAATAACACCAAAAGGCAAACGTATCTTTCAGAGAAAGCCGGCTATGCGTTGAGCAAAGAGGCATTGAGAAAATTGATCAAAGGATTTGACACGGGAGTTGAATGTAAGAATGCCACAAAATTACACAATAACGAACATCGTATTGGAATCTGCATGAGTGAAGCGAAAATCCATTTCGCTAAAAGCACCGACGCAAATGATAAACAACTTTTCTATGACAAATTTCTGGATGATTTCCTTATGCCAGATCCAAATGTTAAGCTGCCATATCCATGGTATCAAGACTACAAAGTCAATCACTTTCTGGATTCGGCCTCAAATCATTCGATTGCATTCTGCGACATAAGCTGGCACCAAATGTACGTAATGGAGTTTCTCATCTATCAACTTCGACCGTATGGATTGGAAACAGAAATGCCACCTTTACCATATGTCGTATCATACGCAGATTGAGTGAATAAGATCTAAGTTTATTCTTTTTATTAAAGCGAACTAGGCCGGTTTCGTTTTACATCTAAAATTAATTGATGGATAAATTTAATTAAAAAAAATAGTTGAAATGTTTGTACTCAAATTGGTATTTTCTTTCGATTGGGTTGGAAAGCAAGGTTGTTTATTATATTTCACAGTTTGAAATTATAGAAGAACATACATATGATTAGTTAAGACTTGCACATTTTATTTGTGGCTATAAAATAGGGCACATAGCACACATACAAAATATGAATCCATACATTTACCCACAGAAGTGTAGTGAGAATCGTTTGCTATGTAGAATCAGTATGGGCCACATACATTGGCAACAAAAATGTAGTGTTTTATCTGAGCACAACATATGTACACAGCGAATACTGATTCTACATAGTACTCACTATACTTCTGTGTGTGTGTGTTTCAACAAATGTAAAATAACATAAAGGGGAATATGATCGAATTCTTCATACCAATAGAATTAGGTATGATAGCAACCAATTCTGGATATTTCTCGATAGATAGAAAATTACTTTCAATCATTCGATAGGGAGATAGTAAAGATCGACGAAAACGGTTGGATTCTTGACAACTTTGACATTTTGATGTACACACACATATAAATACGTATGGTGGAAAACGTCAGCAATGAACTATACTAACACTTGGTGTAGCAAGTTCATCGAATGTGTGAACGGGTGACAATATTCGATGACTTCAAAATCATATGAAAAACCACACAAGTGTTGACATTGCAAACTCACGATTTACACCGTGAAACACAATATTTCTTTGAATAACAAATCGTGTATGAAGCCTAGGCTTTGCAGAGCCCGAATATGAACAATAAAAGAAAATAAATAAATATAATTCCCAAGCAAATAATGTATATAAAATGTATGGCGTTTCCAACCTCACCACTGTTCACCACAATCAGTCAAAGCATTAATGTGAATGACGCATGACAAAGTGACTTTGACAGCACACGCATATGAATTGATGTCATGTTTACTGTTGTTTACGTCAATGCAAAATCTCCAGTATCCAGTTTCAGTCTACTTTAAATGAATGGTTTGAAGCGAAAATGTAATACAGAAAAGTTGAGCGGAAAAATGTCAAATGAAAAGGGATAGCTATATAGTTCACTATAGATTACTATACAGTTTACTATATAGCTATCTCTTTTCCGCTCATTCATCATCGATATTTTTCCGCTCAACTTTTCTGTATTACATTTTCGCTCCAAACCATTCAAATATGAAATATGCACGTTCATTCAATGAATAATATTCATTGAATATGCAAACAAAATACGAATGCATATCGAATGATTGAAAATAATTTTCTATCTATCGAGAAATATCTAGAATTGGTTGCTATCAATTGAAGAATTCGACCAAATTCCCCTTTATGTTATTTTACATTTGTTGAAATAGAAAACACATTTACAATACATGAAGTATTGCTATTTTAATCATTCAAAAAGCCCGTGAAACAAAGAACGCATCTGTTTTCACATTATTTTTGCCCGAGTCTGTTCTAGTTTAGCTGTCTTCATTGTGATATTTTTTAGTTATTTACATCACTTATTTGTATTTCACGAGTAGAGAATTGCTTTAAAAACAAAATCTGCACTTTTTGTTTGTATCACTCATTTGGTGACTGGTATAATTGGTAGGCTTAACGAAATAAATTTCGTATGAATTTTCGTTTGTATATGCACAAATCTCTTCAATCACCTCATATCCGCCTAATATGGGGTCGTCATTGCGATACGTTACTTTTTTCTAGCATAATTATCGACGTAAATTTGAGCATAATCGGCTTCAATATGATGCATCGCTATAATTAATTTTACAAAGCTGATGACGACACAGTTGTAATTTTGGAAAATTTACCGTACATCCTAACCAGTTATTCAACAGAGTTTCCCATTTCCATCGCCTATAAATTTCACACGCCAATTCACCGATGGGAATATTACAGTGGTGGCGAAGGTAAATGCATTCACAAAGTTAATTGATTGTGTTATTGACTAATTTTATGCATCAATTTATTATTGTTACACAGGTAATGCGATGTGTGAAGCTACGCTGCGAATATTTGATGACAAAATGTTGACAAATGAAATTTGCGCTCAAACTCATCAATACGGAATATTGAGCAAAGGCTGAAATATTTTAATGTGTTTGGCAACAGCGATTGTTTTTCTCGTTGACAATCATTGTTGAGCGAAACGAGAACGTTTTTCATATTTGACACCAAAAGGCATCGGTTTTCAAAATCAAAAAATGTATTGAGGTATGTTTGATAGCGTTAGCTCTTTTAGTTGCATCGAAGTTTTTCATTTTGTGTTTTTTGCATTTCACTGGCATCGATAATACTATCAGAGTGACGAAGAATAAAACTGTTGCTCATTTCAATACACTTATCCACCCAAAATATGCGCACGATGTGATACGATGCTCTATTCTACATTCCATACCATTTGGAATGGTATGGAATTCAATATCCAGATTCACCACTGCCTCAAACTCTCAAACACAAAAACTATGCTGGAAATGCTGGAAACAGGACGCTTGAACAAATCACATTGTATATTCAGTGCATCACGTTATGCAAAACTTTATAAAATATTAATAATCGAAATAAAATGTTAAATTTGAAAATAGTCAATGATCCACTTTTCAAATGATAAGCTATTGAATATGTATGGCTTAGGTTTCTGAGAATAGAATAATGAAATATTTTTTTAAATATTGTATAAATCCGGTAAAATGTTTATAATACACGGATGAGTCGATGATCAGCACATTTATAGCATCAATGCAGCGGGTTTATTTGATTAAACCATAACAAAATAAATTCTATTTCGAATTTATAAATTGAATTGTCGCATTATTTGAACAGTTATATCATTTTGCGGTTGAAATTTCGGTGTAAATCAAGCCAACGCGAACGCCCTGGAATTTCAAAGGGTGAATTAATATAATTTAACATTTCAAATCGAAACTAAATTTTTTAATATGGTGCCATTTCCGACCATTTTGAAAAAAAAAACTCATTTAACGTGAAATTCCGTTGAACTTCTATACTTTTTCATAATAATATTGAACATTTTTTCGACTACACACTACATCATACTAAATTGAGAACACTCCACCGGAAAGAGTAGTTAGGTCTTTTTTCGATATTTTAAATATTGGTTCTAGTTGAAAGAATGCATAGTGCTATTTTACATTGCCTAATCAAGCTTTCGGAAATAAGTTTTAGAATATTTCCATTGCAATTTAAGTTAAAGCTCCTCTATGCTTGCATAAAGAGAAAATAAACTATGAAAGGTGAGAGCGAAGGTTTTTCCTGTGTAAGAGTATTGATGAAGTTTTCTTGATTATCTGTAAAATTGAATTAACTTGCAAATGTATTTAGTGCAAAGTTTCCACTGTGAACTGTACTTTTGCACATGTATGAAGAAGTGCCGTTCCATTGCGATCCAAATATAGTTATGTCAATGATGGAGGAAATGAGAAATTTTACCACAAAATCTAATTACATTTTTCATGTTAATCAGGTCACTGGATTAAAACCGCTCAGCTATTTTTCGAAAGAAAAAAGTCAGAGAAATTACATGAAAATATGATGGTCATTGCAGTTTGAAAGAGTCAAGCGAAGCAAAAAGTGTGCATACCCTTTGTGACTGCAATGACCAATAACATATTCATCTAATTCAAACGGGTTTCATGAGAACTACATAAAAGCGGCATTTTATTTGCTTATGAGTTGAGTAAACATCAAATTTTCATAATGAACGTATCGTATATGATCTGAACATTTTCTAAGTTCATAAGTCGACATTTGAACTTTGAGGACTTCGAATATGTGATATTTACATTCGCTGAATGTTTACTCTTCGTTTCTCGAATATTTGCCAAATGTTCTCGAAATGAGATGGATTTTTTTCTGCAGCATATTCATTTACTTAACATACGTAAATAAGAAAAAATCTACTTTTGCGACTGATACGCATAAAAATCCCCCTAATCTACACCGAGTGCAGAGATGAAAAAATAAGCTGGCACGTTGACGAATGCCAGAGTGTGTGTGTGCGCATTTGTACGGTCGAAAATTATCTAAAAACGCGCGCTGAATGCACGGATCACATATATCAGCGGCGTACATGGTGCAGCAGCATTTGTTGTTGTTTGTTTCAGATTTTGCATGCATTTTTTTGCCCCGAATGTTTATGTTTAGTCTAGTTGTGAATACAGAAAGCAAAGCTCATGTTTTTATCTGGTGTTGTGTTTGTAATCAGAATTCAAATTCGTATGCAAACATGCAATGTTTTGAAGCGCACCATGGAAACGTGATATTTTCCAGGGGAAAATTGAAAAGAGTTATTTACAGACACTCAAGCATTTAATGTATGCAGAAATAAATTAAAAGTGTACCAAACGCTTGTAGACCAAATGGAAGAAGTGAAGCAAAGCGATGCAGAGAGCGAACGAGAAGAAAAAACAACAAAACCCGATGCACAAACATGAGCGATAACTTTAACGATGCCATCGCGCCGAAGTGAAATTAAATTACTGAAATTGGGAATGCAGCAGCAGCAGCAGCGCCAGCGATAAAAACGATCAATGGCATTTGGAACACATTTGGTGGGGCAAAGGCGCATACATAAAAACCTGCCCCAAGACAAAGCGAGTGTCGCATGTGAAAAATTCAACGAATGGAAAATCACGTTTGCGAGTGACTCTTAAAAAATTCACATTGAAAATCGGCGCACGAAAATGTCAATGCATTTTATGTGCAAAAAAAAAGTTTTAATCTAAATCAACGTAATCTCAAATCAAACGCAATTCAAATGGTAAACTAGCTTCCATTGATGGAAGAAAAAACGCACACACATACATTTACTGTACGGTGATAATTACATTTGAATTGCGAAGTAAATGAAAAATGTTATGTGACCGATCCGTCTAGACTTGCGGCGGATGTACTGAATTAATGAGAGAGAGAGAGAGAACGAGAAAAAAACGGAGAAGAGAAAGAGCCCTTGTGTGGGCAATATAATGTGAGGATAAAATGCAGTCGGGA